TGCTGTAGGAAGTGGTCCCGAAACCTTGAATAGCGTCTCTTTTGGCGAGTGCTCCTTTCACCTAAAGTCACTGGATCTTTGAGATGTAGTGCCGAGCTTCCCGTTTGGTCGCCATTTTGGTCTGTGGAATGAGTAGTTCCCTTTTACTACTTCGTTCTTTAAGAGCTGATCCTAATTTAAGGTGACAGCTTTCTGTATAGATACATTTCTTGTATAGCGATATGTTGCTGCCTACATGCCGGCAGAATAAGCGCACATTCTCGCACCGCCACCACATGCGGCGTCGGTGCTTGGCAACACTCAAAAATAATTTTCCTGTCTTGAAATACGCAAGGAGAAAAAGATTAATGTAAAAGATTTGCGTAAGCGTTTTTTGGTAAGTGGATTGTGTACACACTGCCTAGGATACTCATATCGGTAAGGAACGCTTTTAGTACAATGACGCTCCAAAGCGATATTGGCACGGCTGTTAGAGGACGACCCTTTCGAACCTCGAAGGATTGAAAGTACCGAAACGGTGATTGCTATGGAAACAAGGACCGATCAGTCAGTCACCTTTCAAGGTTTTGGTCGTTTGTGTGTCAGTATCTGCATGTTTCCAGCTGGCCGGCAGGAAAGGCAATGGCGCAACTTTCCCAGGATCTAATGACTTTAGTTTCACCCAAAGCGCTTTCCTGGAATAGTTCCTCAAGGGCATGCTTCTCTAATGCAACGTACATTTTGTAAAAAAGGGTGCAATCAAGAAGAGTCTTGGGTTTCTGTCTCTTACTTTTTAATAACTCTAGTTTACCCAATTTAATTGATCCCCTATAATAACTCTAGGTTAACCAGTGCAATTGACTACCATCAACGTGCAAACGCACGTTGATGGTGGTCAGTTAAAGCGGCCTAATATAAACTATTGCAAAAATCGCCTTCTGAGCGATGTCATCGTCGTCTACTGGGTGGATACAGTGTATTTAGCTTGCGCCCAGTGATTAGGTAGTAAGCGCTAGAACTGTGCATAGAGTGATAGGTAATGCGTGAAAAAGACTGAGAGAAAATATATTCTGCTTGCGGGGTGTTCAGCACGTTATATGATGTATAGAAAGTATGACTTTCAACTGAATGCTTTCTGTTGGAAACAGACATGAGAAACGACTTAATTCACATCGTCATTCGCGCGCATTGTCATATAATGAAACAGGGAAATAAAAACAAATCGTGTAACTATACACAAATACGCACTGAGAGAAATAGACCTCCTAGTTATTAATACAATTCAGTGGCAATTTAATCCTCTGAAATTATTTCTTGCATTGTCGTTTGGAATGCTATATCATCCCACACTGCTCTTGTTATGTATTTTTATAATATTTCCTAGTGCTCGCCTAGCATTGGCCACACACACTAAGCACCCCAATGGCCTCAATCGCCCTCATGCAGTTAGCCAATTAACTCACCGCTAGTGAACTGTTATTGGCGACCTAATTTTAACTATAAAACATCAGTAACTTAAACTCATAAAGTCTCTCGTTGAGGTTGCGCGAAATAGAGGCTACTTACCCGGGTGAACGGAATCATGACTCCCTATCGCATTTTCAAGGGCCGCTGTGAACAAGCGACGGGTTCTACATGCCACGTGCGCAAGTCAACCACTGCACGGCCGTCTTCCTCGTCGTCTTCGGATACAATGTAATTATCTATATACACGAGTTATTGGCAAGTAGATTGTACTGGCGGGGTTCAATCATTTATTTGAATTGCTTAAGTGATGCATGTCTTGAATTATGCATATATTTTCACTGTCAGATTCTGCCAATAAAAGTAAGAACGGTGGCCATGGCCAAGGAAGTTAACCTGTCGCAGCTAGTGTCACTGAATGCTCCGCCAGAGTACCACTAGTGCCACTAAATAAGCTACGCTTATTTAGTGGCTCTAAGTACCACGTTCCCATTCTCTTAATGCTTTGCCGACAACAGTCCCACTCCAGCCTTGTGTGTTTTGATTTCCAGTGGCATTACTGGACGGCAGCAGTCACGTGAAACGTGTGCCATAACTATCATTATCACTTTTCACCGCCATGAGCCACCATATTGGGTCCAGCCAGCTTCTGCTGCAACGCTCCGGGTCGCTTCTCAGCCCTTTAGCGTTGAAGGCGCACGTATTTTAATGGAATCACGTCTTAACGTTCCGTATTTTACCACTCCCGTATACCTGCTTGCTGAGCCTTGGGGGCCGAAGCTGGTCAGAGAACGGCAAAAGACTCTTCCGCTTCCCTTCAGGAAAGAACGCTAAAGTGAAGTGGAGGAGTTGTTCGGCTTACCAAAATAAAATGAAAAAATTCCAAGCCCTCTGCAGGAAGCGAGCTTTGTGAGGTGTGAATTTCACTGTTCTCCGCGTATTGCTCGTCGCCTTGCAGCCGATCAGGTTGCTTCGACTGAACTTGGTTCGGCACGACGAATGCTTGGATGAACGGCTGTTTCTGAACAAGAATTACATTTCAGTGCTTTTTATTCAAATTGCTTCGCTTCCTACTTACAAAGCGTTAAAACAAATATAAAAAAGGAGTGGTTTTGCAAGCAAAATTTAAAGCACGAATCTTCGGGTGACTCATAATGAAATTTAAGCAAACAGTCTTGTGTGAATGAGCACTCAGGCAATTGTCATTTGAGTTTTTTTTTTTTTTTTGTTTTCCACTTTTGTGGTACAAAAAAAAAACATGAATGAAGCCTTGACAGCACGGTCTAAGATAGGTATGTATCTTAATACCCCGAGTGAATGAGATTCATCTTCTTGCTGTTTAGGTAGAATGAACGATGACACAAACATCCTTGGTATTTGCGGTTTAGAAAGCCATCGATTTCATATCAAGCCATTCTCGTAACTCACCGTCAGTTCCATTTGTTTGCATTAACCATTTACAGAGGTAGCGTTGACGGCCAACTGCCATGAGAATCGTTATGGGGACATCATTGCTGAACTTCGATTCAAGTTTCATCTGGCCAGCAACCCAGGTGAAAATATGAAGTGGTATTTCATGTGGTACCTCTTGCTTTCAAGTGGTACCACTTGCAAGTCAAAAGGAGCCACTTGCACACCAAGTGGTACAATTTGAGCTTTAAGTGGTGCCACTTGGGCCTCAAGTGGTACCGCTTGGGTTGTGAATGGTACCACATGAGCTTCAAGTGGTACCGCTTGGTTGCAAATGGCACCAGTTTCCAAAATCGCGCATATCACTAATAAAATAAGTGAAAGCTGTTGCTCAATCTGAAAAAAGTTTCAGGTGTCTTAAATATGTTGTTGTTATAAAAAGCCAAATGCAAATATTTTGAAAAGATTTCACACATGTGTACAGTGTGATAGAAGTCTATGCATTATGATATGATAATTTTTCTATGAGTACAATATTCTCAAAACACGCGAGAAGAAATCTTCCATACGAGATTCCCTAAGCCATTAGAAATTTCGGAAATCTTTTCCCGCAAACAGTAATGCCCTTCCTGGAGGTCTTTTCTTTAAATTGAAAAATTTGCAACACGACGTTTCTTGAGCTCGCTCTCAAGAAACGCATGTCGAGTCATGAGCAAGGTGTAAGATAGGAAGGTGGGGAAACGGTCCATAGAAACCTACCGCAGCGCCGTGACCGGATTGTGTACTCGTCTGCTTGCGGGTACCACCGATTTGCGACAGATGGCGCTGCGGCGAGAGGAAAAAAATCGGAATTGGATTTGCATGGAAATTAATGGGAGAGTGCGCAAAATAAACCGAGAGCACGACAGTTCTCTATTAAAAATCCACGAGAGACCATCTCCGTCAGTTTAGCCGGTTCTCCACCGGTCGCCCACCTGGAGTGAGAGTTCGCGGTGCTCCACATAGGTGGCGTTAAAAGAAAAAGAGAAAACCGAGGGGTACACAATCCGGTGGCTCATTTGGCTCTCGTTTCCCCACCTGTCTATCTTACACCCTGGTGATGAGCGTCTCGTAATCCTTCACAGACAATGATAATGCGACATTATCCAACACGACCGCCGGAGAACCAGTCACAAACCAAGAAGATAACGAGTCACGCCCAACGTTTCTTAAGCTGTCAATTGCCACGTGTACTGCATGTACCCGTTGGGGGTGTTGTGTCTTCATTATTATATTTTCATATATTCGGATAACTTCGTCTTATTTGCTATGTGTTCATTCAGTTACTTCTTCTTCATCATCATCATTTTTGAATAAAGAGTCTCATGAGAGCAGCACAGGTCACTGGACGTTCCTTTTCGGCCCGCCGGGTCCAGCTAGGACTCTACATTCTTTTGACGGCGGGATGCACGGCGGATTCGGCAGAAAACCTCCTCAAGACGTTTTGAGTAAACCAGGGAAGTCGGAAATTCCCTGAGAGTGATGGATTCCGCTCTTCGAATATTTCATGGGGCATGTGGTGCTCACGCACCGCCCTCAGAATGTCGTCGATACCTGCTGCGCCAATGCCTGGGAGTGGAGGCTTAACCGGTCTTCGACGCATTGCCCTCATCCTGCGCTGTCGCTGCGCCGTCGCCAGAAACGACGTCAGCGGCAGCCGCTTCTAGAACCCCGAAGAGAGACGTCTGTTAATTGGAGGCTGTCGACACCCTCAGCGCGCACTATGAAAAGTCGTGCAACATGCATGGACCTGGAGCGTCATCGGTTCCGCCAGCGTTATCAACAGCCCAAAGAACCATTGTCGGACTATTAGACTATAATAAATATAAATTTGGCACCTTCAACCTTGGTAACACGTTGTACATTACGTTTATATCATAAATACAATAAGTTTTACAAGACTGCGCTTTCAAAAACGTATGTTGGATAAATGCGCACGAACACCACGGCGCCGCTCTACAAGAAACATATTTTTCACGTCGATACCAGATATTTACTCACGTAGTTGCGCCATGGCCTTCCCTCTCCGACACTGTGACGTAACCACTCGGAGCGCTACGGCCTTCTTTCTAGGAGATGTTGGTTCTCCACACGCCGATCCTTCCTACTGGATGAAAACGTCTTGCGAAGCTATTTGGTACCAACAAGACGCGCAGTTAAGTTCCTAATACGCATTTACAATGCTTTTATATATTCCCAACAACGGCATTTATCTAAACACAATGGTTCGTCCCATTCAAAACGAAACTTAGTTCTTTCAAATTTGCCATACTTACTTTCGAAGGAAGACACATTGCGATAAGCAAGCTAGCCGCAAACTTCCACGATAAGAAATAATTATGCAAAGGGTGGCTTGGGCTCGCAGGTAACAGTCGTGGAAAATTCGTTTTCCAACATATGTGACTTTCCGCATACATCAGTGCACATGGTTCAGAAAGGAGTCCAGAAATGAAAATTCACATTTATTACGCCTCCTATCGCGCGACAAAAGGCCAGGCGTCGTTCACCAGACAATGCACTTCTGCTCCGGGTTCATGATGGTGCCAGGTTTGCAGCTGAACGCTTCCGCGAACCTTTCGAAGTTCATCAAGGGGATGATGGTCCTGCGAGTCGATTCGACGTGTGCGTTTTGTTACATGATATTCAATAAAACTCTATGGTTGGCCTAAGAACCGCAGTAAAAAGAAACTTTGGCTCCTGTTTGGACGTTACTTATTTCGCTCTTCATGTGTCGAATTAAATTATATGTAGTAGGTGCCTCAGAGATACACTTTATGTTATTTTATCAAGACGTAAACGTTTCATGCGCCAAAAGCGTTGTCTTCCCTCGACAACCACTTCCTCGCGCTGCACATGGACAATGCGCAAAACTTATTTTATTTTTTTGTTGGTGGGACAACGTGTATAGATGCTTCGGCTCTAGTGTGAGCTTTCTTCCTCTAATATAACATTTTGTCTTTTTGCAGCAGTCAAAACCCGGCAGAGCTTGTAATGCATTCCCAGCCCGTCACACACTGTGGTGACCTTGCTCATTTTTTTCTATAGATTGTTTTAGCACTTATTGACTTTTGTTTTAATGTTACTGTTTTCTGCGTACGCGAAACCTCGAACGTGTATTTTCTTTTAACGTTATTAGTTTCAAGGGAAACTATTTTAACGACCTGTACAGGAGTAAAGCCAGCACAGTATGTCCCTTCCCTACCGAAAAAACCTAGATTTCAGGTTTCCAGCAAAAAATCCAGTTAGATTTTTCTGTTCCATAATCCAGTATAAATTATACAATATTTTTTTTTCTAGGGTTTGGCTGCGTATTGACCTTCATAATGTCCTGCGTCACCTGCCACTCGGCGATTACTGTCGGCGTCTTACTCAAAAATAAACTTTGGCAACACAGACTGTGACGCAAATCACAGCAGATGCAAGGAATGGTAGTGGTGGAATTCGTGATTAAAACATGGTGCCCGGTGCATTGTCGGGTGAAGGTTCATTTCAGAAGACTAAATTTCTTTATCTAATTAACGTAGATAGTTTGTTTAAAACCTATGGAGAACTATGCATACAAGCCTCGTATTAAAAATGCAGTCTGTTATAATTATGAACTCTGCTTTCTTTTCTTTTCTTTTTTTTTTTTTTTGCATTTGCCATGAAAAGCTTGTGCTGACCAAAGACCAAACAAATGAATTACTATATCGCACAAGACAGTAAATGTTAGTCTTGTTCAACCTCTTTTGTTTTCCTCACTCTTTTGTGTCATTCTTGGAAGAGTTCGTCTGTCTTTTCCTGTAGATTCAGTCTATACTAGCGAGAAGTAAATAATAAAAAAACTTCACTCAACACTAAATATAAACGTTCACGCAACTATGACGTAGGGCACTGCGTAGGCATGTCATTAAACCTGGTAAAATATTTCTGCTTCGACGGATGGTACATACCTGAACCGACTTGGTATCTGGTCCCGAGGGCGCAGGTAAAAGAACATGGACCGTTTCCTTGCAACCTCACATTTTGACTGAAAAATAAATATAAATATGGTATGAGTGAAGACTGGAGTTGGGCAATTGATAAGTTGACCTATCAATTAATCGAATAATGATGTAATCGCTATTAGTTTTTTAACCGGTTAATCGGTAAACGTTTGACGAAGCAAAAGAAAGTATAAAAAATGCCTTCACTGTGCAGACATGAATGGGTAAACCTGTAAAAAGGGCAAACTTTAGGCAAAACTTTTAACCTACGTTACACTGTAGGGTCGATATTTGTAACTCCAGACGAGTGCCGAAGGTTGCTCGTGTCCCGGCCACTTCGATACCGTGCGAGAGTCCGTTTAGTTCAGCAGAGACTATTGTGAACAATCAAACGAGGTCGCTCTTGCCGGAATGCATCAACGAACCTCTTTGCCTCATGTAGCTTAAAGGGCAACTCCACTCAAAAAGTCGACCCTATCGAAATGACTGATATCGCTTTAGGAGGTCAAAATACGGTCATACCCAAAATATCACGTCAAACCGACGCCGCGTTACCGATTAAAACCAATATTAAAAATGTTCTCCCGGCTCGGTTAGCGGCCCGAAAGCGGGTGAGCAACGCTGGCACCGGGTGAGCTAGTGAAGCAACACTGGGCAATGACGTAGGTCTAGTCCTACGCTCTCGTACGGACGCCGCGAACGCTTCGTTTCCCGTGGCATCCTGCGATTCTGCTGACGGCACGAGGTGTTTACCAGATTATCCTGTGTTCTCCTATTTTTATTAGCGTCCAGGCAGTCCCTTTAATTCCCGCATTGCTTCCGCGACAGCGCGGAAGAGAGCGAAGCGGTGCTGCTCGCTCACGCGCGCGTCGTGGAGCCGGAGAGATTTGCCGGTCTCGCGTTGGGCAATGACGAGCAGGATTTATAGTGCTGTGGGTTGCACCAACAACCCGGTGCGCAACCCGGAGCTGCGGTTCCACCAGTTCCCAAGAGACCGGAAGAGGCACAAGGTGTGGGTCGGTGCCGTTCGCCGGATAGACTTCGGAAGACCGTCGACTCCGAGCTCCAATGCGAAGCTCTGCTCCCAGCACTTTACGTCAGACACCTACACACGGGATCTGCGGCTGCTGACTGTTGCGGGTTTCACCACGAAACAGGCGTCTTTGAAGAACGATGCGGTGCCGTCGCTGTTCGCGTACCGTCCGCCGGCTGCTCCAGCACGATCGGCCGGACGCAGCATGTCGCGGCTGATCTAACTATACTTCGTCTCACCCTACGTTGGACTAAAGGCAGAAGCTACGAACCGCCCGATCCAATCATGAGTCACTTAATCGCCCGGTATTTCGCTTCGATGCACGTATCGGTGCATCACTGAGAGATATGGGCGTACTGTGGTTATTATCAAATAGCACTGAGTGACTCATCAGTTTTACATTGCGGAGAAAGCCACGATATACAGGCTCTTTACAGTGCCGAAGCTATAGAAATGATGCAGCGCTCTTTGATTCAGAGCATTATTCGTCTACCCCTAATCAATGTTAGGCATGTTATAGATTAGCGTGGAACGTGATTGGACCTGGCGGCCCGTGGCTTTGGCCTTTAGTCCATCGTAGGATGAGACAAAGTATAGCGTGCACAGAAAGGCACCTTGGCTTTAACAACTTAGACCACTTGTGGATAGATCTGTCCATATACTCCCATTATTTCGTTTTCTCAGTCCGCGCGCAAGAAACAAATACAGTCACGCTGCACCGGCACCGACCGCGTCATATTTATAGCAGTCGAATTCGCTTTTCGGCCGGCAAATTTATAAATACACACTAAAAATTACTACATTTGGTGCATGTTAACAAAGTGAAGCGGTAAAACAAGAAAATGTGCATCTAACCTTTTGTTTTGAAACTCCACCTGCGACTGAGCCGACCTTGTCGGCGCGTCGGCTCAGAAGCGCGGGACTAGAACTAGGTCATGCCGACGACGCGCCACTAGTATCAGTGTTGCCAAGCTGCTTCAACCGGTAGTTTCGGTTTCGCCGTGCCACCGGACCGATTCTTGCATTCGCGATATCTACAAAACTATACACACTACCGAAAAACAAATTATATCTCGTGATTCAGGGTCGCCGGCTTCGACTAAACAGGTCATAACCCGAAAATTGTAAAAATGGAGTGGAGTTGCCCTCACCTGTCAGTGTCAGTGTCCTTTGAACTCTTCTCAACCACACATCGAAGTCGATTCATAATCAAAATTCTATATTGCGCCGTTTATCCCATATTCAGCAAATACAAAACAAATTTATTTTTGATATTTTTTTTTAATATTATGCACGGGAATGAACGAGACCGATTAATCGATTAATTATTCGATTAAAGGATGGCGATTAGTTTGGTTACAAATTTTATTCGACGCGTAGCCCTAGTTAATATTAGTCAGATTAGTGGACAATTAAGCCGCGCTTTCATTTCTACGTTCATAAACAAAGTCAACCAGCGTTGCATATTGCAGTTCCGATCTACACCAACTGTTCACACCGCTTGTCTCGCTCTCTATTCAAAGTGCCATCAAACGTTTAAGAAACAGTTTTCTGCCTTTTTCTTTGTGGACATCGCAAATTGACAGCGACCATTATCGACAAAGTTCAATAAGGCAATGCGGCATTTAATAAGCGATCGTTCGAATCTGTTTACTCGACATTAGAATGTCTTTACGGGGAGTGAAGAACATATTGTTTATTTATTTCTTCAATAAATCGAGCGACTGAATGGGCCTCACGTCACCTGATGTCACACGTCATTACGTGACGACATCACGCAACAAGGTTACGCGTTGTCATAGTTTCAAGTCGTGGTATCACGTGATCCTGTGACTTCTCGTGACCTCAATTTCACTTCAACATTTAGCGAGGAAACGCACTTATGTTGCATTCACACCTGCTTTCTAATCGCAACCGCGAAGCGGATCGGCTCGTTTGCATCGTCATCTGCGCGTGAAACTGCACTGAATCTTTAAGCAACCACGTTCGCAGCCGCTTCGCTGTTGCAGTTCAACCGTCAGTGTGAATGAGGCATTACGGCAGGACAAATTTCTGGGAGCACAGGGTTCAGTTAAAAGGCATTGCATGCTGTACAAAATGCTGAGATGTTGTTTCCATCTAAAAATACCAAGGTAGAAGATCGCCAGATGTTTGCACTCAAAATTGAGCACTCACCATGGCATAAGCGATAAAGAAAATTTGCTCCATTGTCCAAGGCTCCATTCCGGGTACACTATAGAGACCGTACCTCTCCTCATACTTCGTCATGTAGACGCGGTATGCCTTTAAGGATAAA